ATGTATTGACAATAGTGTTATGAGGTATCATTTTTGTATCTTGATGTGTTGACAATAATGTTAGTAGATATCATTTATGTATATTAATGTGTTGACAATAGTGTTAGTAGATATCATTTCTATATCTTAATGTGTTGATGATAGTATCAGTAGTATGGATATGGGTATTAGGTCTGTATCTTCATGTTTTCGTAATCGTTTCAGTATATCTTATGTAAACGGTGTATGTTGCAGGTATAAAATGGAATATAGGTTTGAACTATGTTTCACAAAGGCGAGTACAGTCACGTAATCAAGCAATTTCTATGTATAAACGTCAGTATTAAAATTCACCATAAAATATGGGTTGTAAACGATTCAAAGGATTCACTAGACCTTCAACATCATATTTTTATAATTTTTAAAAATGATAAATTTTACAAATAATAGAGAAATGACACAAGTCAGAATTGCAATGCTGCATCATTTCTTGTTTGCCACCAAAATATCTTTCGTAAACACTTCAAAAGGATTCACTAGAGCTTCAACCTCACTTCATTTATTGTTCACTAAAGCTTCATAATAATATTTTTATTTTTTGACTAAGAAGTCTTCATTAGCACTTTTATGATTGCTTTAAGATGAACTCAAAAGGCGGAGAAAGTTTCACATTGAGTTTGTAGAATTTTTTGGTGTGTATTTTTCTACTATTTAATGAAATACTATGGTTTTTGGAAAAGTTCGTCATCAGTGCTTCTAACGAGCATCATTTTTTGTAGCGCCACGTGTCATCAGAGTTTCAATTTATGTATGTTTATCTTTAAAAATTCACAAACAATTAATTAAAAAATCGAAAAAATCCATCCTTAATTTCTACAAATTCCATGCAACATTATCTTCGATTATGATGCGCTGAATGTTTGATTTTAAAAAAATTCCAAATAATTAATTCAAGTTTGCTTCATTACTAACAATAACACTAAGTTAGGATCACTCTTCATCACTATAACTATTCCCCCAATTATTACTTCAAATTTCCCGATGTTAAATTTTGATTTTCTTGCATCAGAGTCGAAGATAATGTTACAAGGAATTTTTAGAAACTTTCGGTGTATTTTTCTGATTTTTGTAATGAATTTTCTTGAATTTTTTAAGATAAACTCACAAAAATGAAATATTAATGGCACGTGACACTACGAGATATGAAACACCCATTGAAAAAGCTGATGATGCACCTATCAGGCACTGCCATGTGTCACTCTCTATTATTTATTATTATTTTTCAATATTTTGAATTCCAAAAATCATAATAAATTTGAAAAATTCACTAAAAAAGACTCCGCACTCCTTGTGACATTTCCAACATCTTTTGACACTTAAAATATAATTTTGACTAAGAGAAAAATTAAAACAATTTCACAAAGTCAAGTTTGCTTCCAAACTAACAATAACACTAAGTTGAAAATCATTAGTCTTCATTACTACAACTCTTCCTCCAATTATTACTTTGAATTTCCCAAAGTCAAATGTTGATTTTCACGCAATAGAGTTGAAGATAATGTCACAAGGAATTTGTAAAAACTTTCGGTGTATTTTTTTGATTTTTTAATGATTTTTCGTGAATTATTGAAGATAAACACACAAAAATGAAACATTAATGACACATGGCGCTACAAGATACTGACACTTGTTGGAAAAGCTGAGGACCCAGCCATCAGACGCTGCCATGTGTCACTCTCTTCCGTTTATTACTATTTTACAATGTTTTGACTTGAAAAAATCATAATTAATTCGTAAAAAATCCGAAAAATTCACCGAAAAATGCCACAAACTCCTTGCGATATTTTCTTCATCTTTTCAGTTGTAAAATATAAATTTGACACATAGAAAATTTAAATAATTTTTCAAACTTAAGTTTTTTCATATACTACCTATAACACTAAGTTGAAGATCATTTCTCTTCCTGACTACAACACTTCCTCCAATTATAACTTCAATTTTTTGAAAGTCAAATTTTGATTTTCACGTATTAGAGTCAAAGATAATGTTGCAAGGAATTCGTAGAAATTTTCGGTGTATTTTTCTGATTTTTTAATGATTTTTCGTGAATTTTTGAAGATAAACTCACAAAAATGAAACATTAATAACATGTGGCGCTACAAGATATTGACACCCGTTGGAAAAGCTGATGACGCACCCATCAGGCGCTGCCATGTGTCATTCTCTTCCATTTATTACTATTTTTCAATATTTTGACTTCCAAAAATCATAATAAATTGATAATAAATCTAAAAAATTCACCAAAAAATTCCCCGGACTCCTTGTGACATTTCCAACATATTTTGAGACTTAAAATATAATTTTGACTTAAAAAAAATTCAAATAATTTCACAAGGTCAAGTTTGCTTCCATACTAACAATAACACTAAGTTGAAGATAACTAGTCTTCATCACTACAACTCTTCCTCCAATTATTCCTTCAAATTTATCAAAGTCAAATTTTTATTTTCCAGTATCATAGTCGAAGATAATGTCGGAAGGAATTTGTAGAAATTTTCGGTGTATTTTTCTGATTGTTTAATTCTTTTTTGTGCATTTTTTAAGATAAACTCACAAAAATGAAACATGAATCACACATGGAGCTATGAGATACTGACACCCGCTGGAAAAGCTGACGACGCACCCATCAGCACTGCCATGTGTCATTATCTTCCATTTATTACTATTTTTCAATATTTTGACTTCCAAAAATGATAATAAATTGATAATAAATCTGAAAAATTCACCAAATAATACTCCGGACTCCTTGCGACATTTCCAACATCTTTTGAGACTTAAAATATAATTTTGACTTATAAAAAAATTCAAACAATTTCACAAAGTCAAGTTTACTTCCATACTACCAATAACACTATGTTAAAGATCACTAGTCTTTATAACTATATCTCTTCCTCCAATTATTACTTCGAATTTTCCAAAGTCAAATTTTGATTTTCACTCAATAGAGTCGAAGATAATGTCGCAAGGAATTTGTAGAAATTTTCGGTGTATTTTTCTGATTTTTTAAAGATTTTTCGTGATTTTTTTAAGATAAACTCACAAAAATTAAACATTAATGACATGTGGTGCTATGAGATACCGACACCCGCTGGAAAAGCTGACGACACACCCATCAGATGCTGCCATGTGTCATTATCTTCAATTTATTACTATTTTCCAATATTTTGACTTCCAAAAATCATAATAAATTCATAATAAACTTGAAAAATTCACCAAAAAATACCCTGGACTCCTTGTGACATTTCCAACATCTTTTGAGACTTAAAATATAATTTTTACTAAGAGAAAAATTCAAATAATTTCACAAAGTCAAGTGTGCTTCCCTACTAACAATAACACTAAGTTGAAGATCACTAGTCTTCATCATTATAACTCTTCCCCCAATTATTACTTCAAATTTCCCAATGTTAAATTTTGATTTTCTTGCATCAGAGTCGAAAATAATGTTTCAAGGAATTTGTAGAAATTTTTGGTGTATTTTTCTGATTTTGTAATGATTTTTCACGAATTTTTAAAGTTAAACTCACAGAAATGAAACATTAATGACACGTGGCACTACGAGATACTGACACCCGTTGAAAAAGCTGACTACCCACCCATCAGCTGCTGCCATGTGTCATTCTCTTCCATTTTTTACTATTTTACAATGTTTTGACTTCCAAAAATCATAATTAATTCGTAAAAAATCTGAAAAATTCACCGAAAAATGCCACAAACTCCTTGCAACATTTTCTTCATCTTTTCAGTTGTAAAATATAAATTTGACTTAGAGAAAAATTCAAATAATTTCTCAAACTCAAGTTTGCTTCCATACTAACAATAACACTAAGTTGAAGATCACTAGTCTTCATCACTATAACTCTTCCTCCAATTATTACTTCAAATTTTCCAAAGTCAAATTTCAATTTTCACAGAAAAGAGTTGAAGATCATGTCGCAAGGAATTTCTGGAATTTCTAGAAATCTGAAAAATTCACCAAAAAAATACTTTGGACTCCTTGTGACATTTCCTACATTTTTTGAGACTTCAAATATAATTTTGAGTATGAGAAAAATTCAAATAATTTCTCAAAGTCAAGTTTGCTTCCATTCTAACAATAACACTGAGTTAAAGATCACTAGTTTTCATCATTATAACTCTTTCTCCAATTATTACTTCAAATTTTCCAAAGTCAAATTTCAATTTTAACAACAATTATTACGTCAAATGTTCCAAATTCAATTTTCAATTTTCATGCATCAGAGTCGAAGATCATGTCACAAGGAATTTTTAGAAATTTTTATTGTTTGTAAAATAATAAAAAAATGATTTTTCATTAATTTTTTAAGATAAACTCACAAAAATGAAACATTAATGACACGTGGAGCTACGGGATACTGACACTTGTTGGAAATTCTGACGACACACCCATCAGGCACTGCCATGTGTATTGACTTCCAAAAATCATAATAAATTCATAAAAATCTCAAATAACTTCTCAAAGTCAAGTTTGCTTCTATACTAACAATAACACTATGTTGAAGATCATTACTCTTCCGTATTACAACTGTTCCTCCAATTATTACTTTAAATTTCCCAAATTCAACTTCGGATTTTTTTTGCATAATAGTCAAAGATAATGTCACAATAAGTTTGTTTTTAGTGTAATTTTCTGACATTTTTTTTTTTGTCAACTTTTTAAGGTAAAGACATAAAAATGAACATCTCATGACACATGGCGCTAAGAATGGCACTCGTTAGAAGCACTGACAACGCATTATTCAAGTGTTGCCACTTGTCAATCTCTTTCGTTTATTACTATTTTTGAATGCTTTAACTTCAAAAAATCATAATAATTCATTAAATTGCATCAAAATACACACCAAAAAAATTCTACAAACTCAATCTAACACTTTCTACGTCTTTTGAATTCATCTTTAAAAATTCATAAAAATACTAACGAGGACTTCTTAGTTAAAAAATAAAAATAATATTATGAAGTTTTATTGAATAGTAAATGAAGCAATGTTGAAGCTCTAATGAATCCTTTTAAAGCTTTTACGAAACATTTTTTGGTGGCAAACAACTGACGTTGTAGCCTTGAGATTCTAACTTGTGTCATTTTTCTATTATTTTATTGCATTACTTGTAAAATTTATAATTTTTAAAAAATAAAAAATAAATGTAAAATTGCTATAAGTTCCTTTGGCTTTTTGGACGGCGATTTCCTCCTTGAGCTTTGCCATCTTTTCTCTTTTCCTCGCCTGTTGTTTGTGCAGAAGAAACACAAATACCCTTTAGTGATCAAAAGAAAAGTCAAAATAAACATAATTAACGAACTTCAATCTTAAAAACAATAAACTCAAACATTTTTTCTCATCTTAATAATTTTGCAATGCAAATTGGAGGGGGAAAACAAGCTGCATAGAGAAAGAAGGAGAGCATTAGAAAGCCAAATAGTAGACAAAAATCGATAATAAAAAACCCAATTGGGTGGGGTTATCTATTTTCTCATTTACTAGCCAAAGACACACATATTTTTTCAGCAATCACAACAACCATAGCAATTAAGGCAATCACAACAACCAATACCAATCACAATCATCCATTTGAACCATACATTATATAACTATACATACATTTACAAAGTAAGATTTTTTTAAAACCTTGATTACTAACCTTCACAGAATCACGAAAGCCAACCTTTGTCCAATCTCAAAGCCAATTACAATTTTAAACAAGGCCTGCCAAATTTAATTAAAGAGGACAAAATCAAACCAAAACCAAACAGACTAAATTAATTAACGAAGAAAAGAATATTGAAAATCAAGTAATCAAAAATGAAAATAACAAGTCATAATTAAAGATATTGATGCAGATAGAGAACGGTAGGAACAACCAGATGGGTAGCCGTAAAAATCCAATCTTTGAGCACCAGTATGACTTTGCCAGATTACTACCTTTTCCTCCACCACCATGAAAAGCGAGGGACACAACGAAGAGGAAAATGAAAGAGATATCAAATGAGAGCAGTAAATAGGGCTTTTGGACCTTGATTTTCGAATTGTGGTAGGGAAAGGGAGGAGAGAGAGAGAGAGAGAGAGAGAGGACGATGACGAGGAGGAGGAGAGAGATTGACGCAGAGAAACTGAGAGAGCAATACAAAAAAGGAGTTTGAAAGGAGAGAGACTGAGAGGGCAGAGAAAGAGGAGAGGGGGAGTTCCAGAGAAATGTATCAATTCTGACCAAAGAAAATAGGAGAAGGTATTGATTGAGAGGAATAAGAGGGAGTCTGAAAAAAAAAAGTGAGGGAGCGTGAAAAAATTGGGAGGGAGGGTGAAAAAGTTGAACAGCTGTTTAGGAAGGAGGGAGGAGAGAGAACAAGTTGAGTGACTCACTCTAGTACAACCATTTCATTTACAATTGCTTTTCACAGAGTCGTTGGATATAATCCAACGGTGTTCTCATATAAAATTCTCATATAAGTGTTCTCACTAGATCCTGACCCATAAAAGGAGACAACTCTCCACCTAAGAAGGGATCCCCCCTTGGTTGGGCTTGATTTTTAGTCTTTGCTTTCTTCTCTTTATATTTGGGCCCAGCCCCTTGTATAAAATGTAAATACACATTACAATGAGAATGAAAATATACTTCTTCGTGGACGTAGCCCATTTATTAAGGGTGAACCACGTATATTTTGTCTTCTGTATATTTATCGCTTGCTTAAATCTTCACACACTGGATGATGGTCCTCACCTTCACCCATCATTCATCATACCCTATCACTAAGTTGACCCTCAAAGTCCTGAACCACTTTTTGGCGTCAACAAGCATTATAGGCTATTCGTGTTTGACCACCAAATGTAGTAGCAATCATGTTTAATTTGTGACACATCTTGTTATTCTGTTGTCATTTGAGTTACAACTCATCCTATATATAATTTTACAAGAGATTTTATATTTAAACCCCACACTTCCCTTTGTTCACCCCATGTTCTAAGTTCACCCCAACCTCTAATTTAAATTTTCACAATTTCTAAGAAAACCCCACTTTCTTCCCAAACTATACCCTAAAATACACCCCAAGTTGAAAAAATAAAAAATAAAAGAGTTTTTCTATTTAAACCCCACTATCTTCCTACTACAAACTACAGAAGAAAAAAAACATATATCTAAACTGAATAGTGGGGGGAAAAGATGAAGAAGGCCCCTACTTTTTGAGAAGAAGATGAAGGTCCCTGTGCTTGCCGCAAGACAGATAGACTCGCTAATTATTACAGTATATCATTTACTGTTAATGGAAAGAGATCCTAGACCAAATAAAGATTTCTAAATTAGAAATTAAATGAGGAGATATTTATTTGCATTGTAGACAAGAAGGTGCAACTTACCTCGGCAAGAAAAAATTTAACTTACACGATGGTACAGTAATCATCTACTGTTTACTTTTGAGCATATAAGAAGTCAAGTAAATATAAAATTTTAAATAAAAAATCAGAACAACCAAGCAATCAACAAAGGGTAGAGAATAAGATCATTACAACCAAGTAATCAACAAGCCTTTCCATCAGCTCCCACGCAGATTTTAAAGAGGTAGGCTCCTCAACATTTTACGTCTTTAAAGAGGAGTAATCTGGCAATAGAATATAGAGGGTTTGTATTTTTCTAAAACTTAATATGAAGAGTAGTGGGGTGTGTGGGGTGTGTATTAAGTTGGATGACCTTTTTTGTCTTTTTACACAATAATAAAACTAACAGCTTAATGATTTAAGTATTGGGGTGAACAAAGAGAAGTGCGGGGTTTAAATAGAAAATCTATTTTTATATACAAGTAATTAACATTGCTTTAGTGGATCATGTTGTTATAAGGGATGTGGCTTAACTTAATTATAAGTCAAGCCTACACTTTTGTCTCATTTCTAGTTAGCGATTGGCACCTCAAAAAGTCATCATACACTCTCGAAATTCTAAGTCAAGCCAACACTTTTGTCTCATTTCTAGTTAGCGATTGGCACCTCAAAAAGTCATCATACACTCTCGAAATAAGTCAAGCCAACACTTTTGTCTCATTTCTAGTTAGCGATTGACACCTCAAAAAGTCATCATACACTCTCGAAGTCCATTTTCAAGTGGGTTTTTTTATTTTTTATTTTATTTTGGGGTCATCCAAGTGGTGTTAAACATTTAGTTAATTTGTTCATGAATAATTTCAACTTTTAGTTAATGTTATTAGTCGGATTTCCTGTTCTGTGCATGAGTTACCAAGTAGCACGGAAGCTACTGCCAAGTAAGGCTTCGTTAATAGGAAGTTACATTAGAGATGACCACTTTGCAAATACATTAATTGTGTGGAAATTTCGGGTTGATACGGGAGACCGTGTGGGGTCTAGGAAAGACTTGTAAAACATTAACCCATTCACCACTTCTACGGAAGCTGCAGCCAAGTCAAGTCATGGTTGGTCCACAATTATATACAAAAAGATGCATGATTCAATGGGGTTGTGATCTGAAAGATATACAAGTACGTTGACACATTATATTTTTTTAATATATAGCCCATAATTAGTATTAACGAGAATTAATTGTTAATATATAGACTTTGACCCATTGATCAATTAATTGTTAGTATATAGCCCATAATTAGTATTGACGAGAATTCGCGTCTTTAATAAGCAGTCATTGATCAATAGTCTCAATTCACTTCACATTTCTCATATTCAATAATCATCTACTGTTTACTTTTGAGCACATAAGAAGTCAAGTAAATATAAAATTTACGCAGAAGTGGCTCCATTCTCTTTCGTTGTGTGCATTGACCAAAATCTACTAGGAGCAAAACATTAGGAACATGAAGCTATGAAGTGTATTCATGCAGGATTTTGAGCCTCTATATTTATAAACGGTGCATTTACTCACATTTCGCAACATTTAGACCACTCCAAAAATCAAAGGTTGCATCTTGTTGCCTCACAAAAGGCCAACACTGATTCTGATTTCCATTCTTCTTAAATTGTAGTTTCTTTGGCTACTCATGTTTGCCTTGGTCTTCATCATAGTTGAAAGGCAATGGCACTGACTTGAACGCCCTGTACTTGCCAACATTGTTCAGATGCTCATTCTCCAACCTGAAAAAACTCCATATCCCACGACGGATTATCTCCAAGCTGGCCACAACCGCAATCATGGCTTGTCTATGCATGAAAGAAACATTGAAATTCAAAACAGTCTGCAACCAGGCAAATCTCAGCAACACATTTAACACCTGCATTGTTTTGTCCAAAAATCAGTAAGAAAATATTAAGCGCAACCTGCAATTGATCAAGAACGTGTTTTTCACATTGCAAAATAAGCATATATAAGTTTGGCAAGAGAATGTTACTCGATATAGCTACTACTCACCATGGCTCCGAAATATACACTTTTGTAAGGGATCAAGAGTTTATCTCTTAACCAGCGGTTCTTGGAATTCCGTTGCAGAAGTCCCCAATCCACAACAAGATCCCAATATGTTACATAGATTGCTGCAACAATTGAAAAAATCCAAGCAAGAACTTTCCAGGTCACTTCATTTTTAAGACTCTCAAGACTGTATGCTGTTCTCATGCTAACAGCTACTATTGTGAAGAAATATTTCAGCCCATTGTAACCTTGCATGGGATCTTTCTCTTCAACCAAACGGCGGAGGCACTGCAAGAAAATGGAACGGAAAACATTTCTAAGTGTCTGGCTGGGGCTGATAATGAAGCTTAGGAGGACATTTGCAAGAAAAGAAGGGATGAGCTGTGTACCTGAAGGAGACGAGACCAATACGGAATACAAGCAACGATGAAAGTGAAAGTGTTGAAGACATCTTGTGATTTGCAAGTGTTTCGTCTGAGTTTGTAGTCTCCCCAACCATAATAGCAAACGTAGAATTGCAGACTTCTAATGGCTTGCACCTACAAGAAAACAATTTATTGACACTCAGTTATTTCAAACAGAGAGAAGAAAAACAGGAAAATAATATGACTGCAATGTGTGATTTAGGACTTAGGTAGATCATTTTACTGACCTGGCTAGTTAAGTGATCTGCCAAGAAGAAATCTGGGAGTGTGACCTGAAAAAGAAGCAAAATTTTCAGATTGTTAGACCATCCAACTAAGTTAATTCAGTTTCACTTTGAAGAAGAAGAAAAAAAGTGTCTTAAATTGACTTTAATTACCTTATACAGAGGAGCACAGATACAGTGAAACAGACAAACGAGGAAGAAGTAGCGACTTGAGCGATATATGAGGTTGAAGGGGCATAATAATATCAAAACTACAAGCTGCATAAAAAGAATTTAGTTCAGTACATGATCCTAGAAGTGTGATGAGCCAATGCATCTGTAAAAATGAAATGGTTGAATTTATGATCTTACCAAAACCAAGAAGAGAGGGAGAAGTTCGGTTAGTGCTTTGTAATCTTTGGTTTTGGGGTCCATTTCCATGTCAAGATTTGAGAGCACAGAAGCAAGTGCTAGCACTGCCAGTCCAAAACTGAGAAGAAGAACCTCTCTGTAGCCCAACTCAGTTCCTTGCTTGAAACCAAATATGAAAGAGTAATTGACTCTGAACCGCCTCCAAAAGTATATGTTGCCGGCATACATAAGCATGTGCAGAAATATGAATCCAAACAAGCTGCAAGAAATTTTAACATGTTGAGCAAATTGAGTATTATTTTTTGGTTGGAAACTGGGGAAGAAGAATAGTAAGGCAAAGGCCTAATTATGAGTACCTGTATAAGGGAAACATGTTATCCATGTACTGTGTTTTTCCTTTGTCAAATTCAGGATTGTTGGCATTGTTAATATTGCGAGCACGCACCATCAAAATAAGTGCTAATATAAGAGCAGCTGTACAGCCAGCAAAGTAACCTAAAGATTTCCAATAAACAGATTCAAAGGGAGGAAATTAATACCAAAACTGTCCTTGTTCAGTGTAAAAAAATTTAACTCTGCTGATTTAGCTAGAGGCCTTACCCATGGCAAATGTTATCCTATGTCTTTCTATCTTTGCTTTTGGCCTTAAGACGGCCATTCCTTTTCTGCGATTTGAGTTTGAGAAATGCTTGATGAAAGTAGTTTCAACCCTCTCCATAAGCTTGGTAACCTGCAGTGGTGGCAAGTGCCATATCAGATTAGAAAGCACTTTAGGCCAAGCTTCAGATAGCCTCCAAATAAAATCATAAGAATGTCAGATCATGTAAGAGAAATTCGTCCGACAAAAAAATCGCCTACTAGACAAATTGCCGCAATAGGTCTTCCCTAACAAAAATTAGGCGGGATAGGTCTCTGCCGTAAAAAATATGCCAGGTAAGTCTATCCCAACAAAAAATTGGCCGGAATAGGTCTATCTCTACAAAAATTCGCACATTTGGGCAAAGCAACAATGTTATTTACTACGAGCATAAATTCATAATCCTTTCAACATATATCTTAGAAAGATTTAAGGTTGAATTGTCTTTCCTATCTTTAGCATTATGCATGAAGAATTCTCACCTCCCCAGAGCTGCCAAGGTAGGAGTTATCCACCATATTCATGTAAGGTTTTGATGTATCTCTTGAAGTAATCTGCAAAAGTAATGGGGCTAAAAACATAAGTAATACAGACCGAAGTTATCCACCAAAGGAAATACTGACGAATATTTTACTGATAAGAGATCTAAAAGCTGAAATTTCTTTTATTCTTCCATTCTATTTGCATACCAATCACCTAAATATTGGCATAGAAGTTAATTGAAAACATTCTTTCAGGAATTTATGGCGTTGAAAGTTATAACTTATACTGGGAGGGGAAATACCTTGTCATATTTCTTCATGATTTTTGAAAAAGCCAACGTATTCAAGAAGCTGTTTCATTCATGGAAAAAATAATTAGCAACACAGATAAAAATAAAAAACAACCAAACTAGGTACCCCAGTTTGATCTTACCCATAGCTCTTTAGAAGCCGAAGTTTCCGGTAAAATTCAATGAAAGCCCCTTTAAGCTGTTCTTCAACTTTCTTCAGATTATCTCTGCTGAACTTGAGCTCTGTCTGTGGAGGCACATTGAGGAAGCCTTTAATGGTCGAACGCGGAGTCTCAACAGTGTGATTCATTGTCACATAATTTAGTATGTGCAGTGGTGCAGGTCTAGTGTCTCTTAAGTTCTCTGCCTTCTTTTCATGAATCTTAATATTCTCTGTCTTTTTTCCATTTTTTTCTTCATCACCAGAATGTTCCTCCTGGCTATTTGATCCACTCTCTTCAATCACATCCATAGCCATGGCTGCGCACCCTGCACATGATAAAACGACGTAGTTTTAGACATAAGCAGAATATCAGCGCATAAAATACACATATCATCACAATAAGCACAACATTACTTACTGCTTGCTCTGACTCCGCGGGGAGTGGAAGCTGCCAGGGCAGCTGTTGAAGCAGCAACATCGGAAGCAAGACGAGTCATCTCCACTGACCAATCCAACGGCCTCTGCGGGTTCTCCACTTTTATGCGAAACGCGATGAAAGTATCCATTTGCTTGTTGAGCACAGCAGCTTCCTTCATCACCTCATCCACCTTAGACCTATAAAACTTGTCCACTTTATTGAACTCATCATCAACCTTTCTAAAATACTCCAACTCCTGCACGCCCCCTTCCTCTGCAGCCATTAGAAACGTGGTCTGGTAGCTCTCGGAGCCATCACGTCTCACAGAGTTCACAAGAATGGCTTGGCTTTCGATGTCGACAGGGGATATGGAGGATGGGCTGTTGGGTTGCTGCTGGTTGTGACGGCTTTGCGACGTGAGACCACTGAAGGCTCTGTACAATGTGAGCCTTCGCTTTAGGAGGTGACTGCGCGGTGTGGTGGCAACTGGTGGAGGCTTGTGTCTTTGCTTGCTGCGTTGGATTTCTTTTAGGAGGGATTTTAGATAACCATAATCCATGTATGCTTTCTGCCATTCTGGCACCATTTGTGTTGCAAACTCCTTCCCAAACTTCATTTTTTTTTAAGCTCTGTGAATTGTTAGCTCTAGAAATTAAGTCACTCGGTTTTCAGCAACTTTTTTGAGTGTGAAAAAACTGAAAAGAGCCCCTCAGATTGGTGCTTAGTTAGCTAAATTGGGTTCCTTTTGCACGAACTGCGCAGAGCAAAGAGCGAGTGAGAAATGTCAAGGACAAAGAGCCAACGAGGTAATTGGGTTGAAAATTTATGCAAAGAAGTTTCAAAATATGAGTGAGTCATAGAAGGCGATAAGATTCTAAATACAGAGGGTAGGCAGCCAAAATAGCGAGCAGAGTGGGCTCCACTGTTGCTTCATCCCCTAAATTAGGGTTATTCGTTTTATTAGTCCCTGAATTTTGACCCGATTTGCATTTGAGTCCCTCAATTTCCAAATCGTTCCCATGGTCTTTCAACTTTAGTTTTGTTAGGAAAAATAGTCAAGCCATCAATTTTGTTAACTTTTTATGTTAAATGCAGGGGTAAAATGGTATTTTTGTATTATTTTTAATTTCCAATTTTTGGATATTCCTTTCACTCAAAAAATAAAATTTAAAATTTAAAAATCTTTTTCCTATCCTCAGTCAAACTAAAAATTAAAAATTAGTTCTTATTACTAAAAACTTGAATTTTTTTTTTTTTTTTTTTGTTGTTGTTAATATTTTATTAATATTTTAATCAATTTAAAATTAAAAAAATATATAAATATATCATTTTACCCCTGCATTTAATAGAAAAGTTAATAAAATTGACGGCAGGACCATTTGTCCTAACGAAACTGAAGTTCAAGGACCACCAGAACGATTTTGGAAATTGAGGGACTCAAATGCAAATTTGATCTAAGTTCAGGGACTAATAAAACAAATAACCCCTAAATTATTATTATTTTAAATATAAAAAAAAAGTTTTCCTCTTTTGTTTCCCTGCCCTTTTTGGTCAATTACAAGAAAGAAAAAAGGTTTAGGGTTGCCGTACTCGTTGAAGCAGTCGCAATTGACCAATACCTTATTCGTGGGCCCCGTGGTTTTTGTACGGAGGAGAGTTTCCATTAAAAAAAAGCTCATTTTCTAACTACACACGTAACACATTTGGTCTCTCTCTGTTTCAACATTAATAGCTCACAACTTGGAGAAATTATAGAATGATACCGTATTACCACGTCAACTGGTGATACTCCCACTCAAAATTTAACATGTGTATAACTTTTTAAAGAAAAATTTAAAATTTATACAGCTGGATTTAAAATCCCTTTTTCAATTTAAATTTAATTTAACAAAAATGGAAATATCTAAAATAATAATAAATAAATAAATTCCTCAGCAACATCAACCCCTTCTTTGAACTTGCGACAAAGCCCCCACCCCACCCCAACCTTTCTGCCATGGCTGCCGCTGGTCTTTCTTTTTTCATGTCTTTGTGTTTTTCTCTCTCCCCCTCCCCCTCCCTCCCTCCTCTCTATTACGGGTAGGGTTCAAGGAATTTAGATTGAAACTTTCTTGGGGGTGAGTTTATGGTCTTTGAGGAATCCAAGCTTTCAACATATATCAAGAGCAAATTCATTTGCCATGGGCTGTCATCATATTCACAGATAGATAGTCATGACAGGGGGCTTCGTCGCCGTCGATGAGGCAAATGATTTTTGGGTTTTTATTTTTCTTTCTTTTTTATTTGTAAGTTTTTAAAATTCTTTTAATTTTTTTTAAAGGGTAAAATGAATACTCCAGTTGTCAAAAAGTTATACACATGTCAAATTTTGAATGGAAGTATCACCAGCTGACGTGGTGGTACGGTACTATTCTATAATTTCTCCACAACTTGGCTCAAGGCAAATTATAGTAATTAATTATACTAATTAACTTAATCACAAGTTGAATAAGAAGAATACTAGCAACCTTATCTCTAACTTTCTCTTTTAGACATTTTCTCTTTTACTCATGTGACAAGTGTCACTTCTCTCTCACTTAAACCAATATTTTAAGAGATTTTCTATTTAAACCCCGCACTTCTCTTTGTTCACTCTAATACTTAAATCATTAAGCTGTAAGTTTTATTATTGTGTAAAAAGACAAAAAAGGTCATCCAACTTAATAATTAACCCTAGTACATCTATACACACACCCACACACACTCCACCACTCTTCATATTAAGTTTTAGAAAAATACAAACTCCTCTACATCCTATTGCTAGATTACTCTTATATTGTAAAGACATAAAACATTGACGAGCCTACCTCTTTAAATATGCATGGGAGTTGATGGAAAGATTTGTTGATTATCAACTTAACAATACCCAAGTGTTGGAATTCCAGTTACAGTTCTTGGAGAGAAGTAAAGTTGTTCTCTTTCTCTAGAAAGTATTAAATTTCGGGTTTGGGGTTTAAATAGAAAATCTCTTTTATTTCTTATTTTTTCAGTTTGGGGTGTATTTAAGGGTAGTTTGGGAAGATAGTGGGGTTTTCTTAAAAATTGTGAAAATTTAAATTAAAAGATGGGGTGAACTAAGAGAAGTGTGGGGTTTAAATAGAAAATTTCTATTTTAATTACACAAAAGAACATTAATTGTATTTTCATATTTGCCCTTTTTTATTTTTTAAAATAATAAACAATAAAAAAAAAAATTTAATCATATACCCATTCTTAGCACTAAAACTATAAATAAACCATACACCATTTAAGTTCTATAAACAAACCCAAAAAACACCCAAAAATGACCGTAGGCCCTATTGAATTTAATTTTGAATATTAAATTACTTTGATGCCCTATTGAGTGTTTTGGGCTTTTTTATGAGGTTTTAGGGTTGAGTTTGTTTTAAGAAATTAATGGCAGTTTTGTAATTTAAAAGAAGTTAAAAGCATTTTTGTTATGTTGTAAATGGACTTTGGGTGTGTTTCTAAAGTCTATTTCATATAAGGTATTTTTATAATTTGAGCTCCTATATTGGGTATAATAGTGAATCTCCCATAAAAAAAAAAAGGGTTCTTCAATCACCCAATGCCCACCCCAACTCCCCCTCACCCCCCCTCCTCAACCTCTGGGAAAACCCAACAGTCAACACCACAACGATCACTCACAACTCATCTCTCCTTCTCCCACCTGTGCAGCCACCCCTACCTCCCACCCCAGCCACTAATTTCATTTTCCCAGCATAACCTCGACCTCTCCCCCGCTGGTGAAAACCCAACAGCCACATCCATTTTCCACCCCACCCATGTTTGATCTTTTTTTATTTATTTTACAATACCTCCTTCACACGTCTCTGCACAAAAATATGAATATGATGATTTTGTCATCTTTTTTTTTGTTCGTTTGCAAAAACCTAAATTTCAGGGAGGATGGTGGGCTAGAATCGATACATAGAGATTGGGGGAAGGGGTGGGGATGGTGAGAAATTGTAGGGAGGGTGGGTGAGGTATGAGGGCAGGGACGATGGAGAAGGAGGAAAGGGACGGTGGGGTCTTCCAAATGGTTTTGAATTTGGGTTAAGGGGAGAGACCTGGAATTTTTTTTTTCTGCAAAACCAACAGGCTCGCAAATCATGTTAGGATTTTAAAGACTCAATTAAGACTCAAGAGGTGCATGTGGAGTTTCATTTGTTGACTTTGCCAAAGCAAAGGAGTTAGTTTGCTTAATCAATGGAGTCCAAGTGTGAGGATGGGTCCAGATGGAGTGGTGTGTTATGAAGATAGGTCTGGGTGAGTGTGAGAGAGAGAATGTGATAGTGGGAGAGAGTAATAAAAAAGTTGTAAAAAATTTGAATAAAAATATTTAATAAGGGTAAATTTGGAAAAGAAAAGTTAGCTTGTTTGCTGCATTAATGATATTGTTTTAAGTGTATGGAAGGTGACACATGTCATGAGAAAAAGAGAAAATTAGATAGAAGATTGCTAGCATTCCAAGTTGAATAATCTTAGTTTTTCTAGGTTGGGGTGGGGGAGGTTGGGAATGGGGCGGAGTGTCTGGATTTCGGGATGGGTGGCCTGAGTAAGCTTGGGTGGTGGTTAGGGTAGCTGGGGGCTAGAAGGAGAAGAGAGATATATATATATATATTTTTTTATTTTTTTAAATTTTAAATAGTGAATTTTAATATTTTAAAAAGTAGAATTTTTTTTATTATTTGTTTTGTCCACTAGGAATCCATGTCATTAAAAAAATGGAGCCCACATTCGCCACATAAGCATTTAACAGATTCACTAACGGTTTGGCTAATGGAGGGGGCAATTTGTAGGATTTCCATGACGTTTAATATGTACTCGTAAATGTCCCTAAAATTGGGTATGAACTTGAAAATGACCATATAGGTTGGGGGGTTTTATGTAGTTTGTCCTATATTTTTTTAATTAACACTTTTAATTAATTAATTAAATATAATTTAACCTTTTTTTTTAATATTCGAAAAAATCAATAATTTTTTATTAGTTTTTTTGTCCACGTGGAAGTCCACGTCATCAAAAAAACAAGTCCCACTTTTGACACGTCAATATTTAACAGATTCGCTAACAGTTTGGCTAACGAATGGTGATTGTAGGGTTTCCGTGAGGTTGAGTATGTACTAGTAAATGTCCCTAGCATTCCAAGTTGAATAATCTTAGCGATGAAAAGTCGTACATATCATATTATTCAACCCTAGACCTCTAGAAAGTACCCCGAAAATATATTTACACTTAAATAAATAAATCAATATTAATATGCAGAGGCTCCCATCTACTTGCATGTCATATCGCAAAGTCACTCGAAAATGCCACTTGAGCTACCATCTTTGTCATTGAAAATAATAATTCAAAACCCAATATATATATATATATATATAATTTGGTACATTTACTTATTCAATGACAAAGATACAATTATATTTTTGGACAAATTACATAAAACCCCCCAACTTATAAGGTCATTTTCAAGTTCATACCCGTTTTGAATTATTATTTTCAATGACAGAGATGGTAGCTCAAGTGGCATTTTCGAGTGACTTTGCGATATGACATGCAAGTAGATGGGAGCCTCTGCATATTAATATTGATTTATTTATTTAAGTGTAAATATATTTTCGGGGTACTTTCTAGAGGTCTAGGGTTGAATAATATGATATGTACGACTTTTCATCGCTAAGATTATTCAACTTGGAATGCTAGGGACATTTACTAGTACATACTCAACCTCACGGAAACCCTACAATCACCATTCGTTAGCCAAACTGTTAGCGAATCTGTTAAATATTGACGTGTCAAAAGTGGGACTTGTTTTTTTGATGACGTGGACTTCCACGTGGACAA